GGCCTTGAATCTAGGTGTTAGATAAAATAGCCTTGATTTGAGGTCAAGGAACCTCCTACAAAAAATGGGCAGAAAAATATTGAAAACTTTTCTTCTCCCCTCATTCATTCATTACCAGCAATTATATAGCAGAAATAGTGAATAACAAACTCATAATAAACCCACTAAAATACTTATACGTCATACATAAATATTCCCTCACTCACTCCCCATTGGTCAAAGCTTATAATCAGCTAAATATCTTGGCATCCTGCAAACCCTTGTTGACATCATTGGGTCGGCTACCCCATTGGCGTGGTTGATAATGTTGGTTTTTCATTTGGGCCTGGATTGCTATCATTACTGCTCCCTGGGAAAATCACCTTGTCATCAAGGTGATAATTCAGCTGCAATTCATTTTAGTCTTCCCAAGTGGTGTCTTCCTGGGCCAATCCTTTACATTGTACCAAAAGGAATTTCACAGGACGGGTGATGGAATTGTCTATCTTAGAATCCGGTATAGCCATAGGAGTAATTGTCGGGCTATTACCATGGGTTTCAGTTGGTAAATCAACTTGATGAGTAGGAAGAGGGCCGAAATGAGCCTTAAGTGCAGAACAATAAAAAATTGGATGAATTTTGGAATTTGAAGGAAGCTTTAACTTGTAAGCAATAGGTCCAACTCGTTCAAGTATGTGAAAAGGACTGTAAAAACACTTGCCCAACTTCTCATAAGCTGAACTGCGAACAAAACTCTGGTGGTAGGATCGCAACCGTACATATACCCAATCATTAACCTGATATTCCACTTCCCGTCACTTGCCATCTGCAACTATCTTTATCTGGTCTTGGACCTTTTGGAGTTTCTTTTAAAGGGCAATTAACATGTCTTGGTGATTTGAAAGTAAAGAATCAACTGCCTCTACTGACTAGGAGCCTATCAAATATTACGGAATCAAAGGAGGCTCCTTCCCATATGTGACCTGAAAAGGAGACATTCTAGTGGTCGAATGAATAGTTGTATTGTAACACCATTATACTAAACCCAAATATTTTCCCCAATTGGTAGGTTTGTTGTGAACCATGGAATGCAGGTACTGTTCTAAGACCCTATTTAAAACCTCTGTCTAGCCATCAATTTCGGGGTGGAAGGAGGTGCTCATGCGTAACTTGGTGCCACACAATCGGAATAGCTCTCTCCAAATTTTGCTAATGAAGACTGGATCTCGGTTTGAAACCGAGTTACGAGGGAATCCATGGTGTTTACAAGCCATATCCAGAAAGAGCTATGCGACCTTAAAGGATGTGAAGTGCACGGGTAGCATTCCAAAATGTCGTTCCCTTCGAGAAGCGATCAACAACCACCAGAACAACTGTATATCCTTGGAAAAGTGGCAAGCCTGTAATAAAATCCAAAGACAAGTCAACCCATGGTTCTACTGGAATAGAGAGAGGTTGTAATAATCTTGTTGGCCGCTTAGTTTCATACTTGGTTTGCAAACAAGTTGCACAATGAGCAACGAATTTTTGAACATCCTCACGCATGCCTTTCCAATAAAAATTGTGTTGGAGCCTCGACAAAGTCTTGGCAACCCCTGTATGCTCGCTAAGTGGAGTTTTGCGAAATTCCTCCAACAATACTGAATGAAGGGATTGTCACGGTTTAGCCAGATTTTACCTTTGTACAACAAGAGGTTTTGGTGGGTGTTGTAGTGCTCCGAAACATTCGAGTCATTCTGTACATTCGTAAACAATTGAAAAAATTTAGCACTTGTAAGTAGAGCCTTGCAAAGTTCCTCAAGAAATAAGAAATGAGGCATAGACAGAACAAAGAGATGGTTGTCACCAAAATCAAAAGGGTGAGACAAAGCATTTGCCACTACATTCGTACTCCCTGTTTTATACTATATGGAATAATCGAAGCCCAACAACTTCGATAAATAAACTTGTTGTTCCAGAGTTTGGATAACCCGTGACATCAACTCCTTGAGACTACGATGATCCATGAGGATTGTAAAGAAGTGCCCAAGTAGATATTGACGCCACTTCTTAACTGCAGTTGTAATGGCATGAAGTTCCCTGACATAGGTAGAGGAATGCATGAGCTTTGGGCAAAATAGTTTATTGTGGAATGCTATTAAATGACCCTCCTGCATCAAAATTGTTCCCATGGCGAAGCCGGATGCGTTTGTCTCCAAAACAAAAGGCAAGTAGAAATTGGGTAAGACTAAGACTGATGTCTCAGTCATGACTTTCTTCAAGATGTCAAAACGGTTTAAGCTTCATTGGTCCATAAAAATGCGTCCTTCTTTAAACGTGCAGTCAAGAGAGAAGTTATGGTTACATACCCTTTGATGAATCGTCTATAAAATCCTGCCAATCTCAGAAATCCATGTAATGCTTTGATCGTGGTAGGAGGTGGCCAATCCAACATTGCCTGAATTTTTGAATGGTTTGATGCTACACCAGTTGCAGAAACCACATGCCCCAAATACTCAACTTTTTGTTGGGCAAACAAACACTTAGACCCACGCAAAAAGAACTTGCCCTATATCAATTGTTGGAAAGTCAGCTCCAAGTGTTGAATATGATCCTGCAATGATATGCTAAAAATCAGTATGTTGTAAAAAACAAAAAAACAATCAAGAATTTACGCATAAATGGTTTTAGCAGTTCATTCATAGTTACTTGAAACGTTGAAGGGTGTTACAAAGCCCAAACGACATGACCGTATACTTATAATGCCCATGATTCGTACGAAAGGCGGTTTTAGAAATATCAGCTTTAGACATGGGAATTTGACAATATCCTTGCCGCAAATCCAATTTCGAGAACCACGAAGCTCCACTCAACTCGTCCAAGAGCTCGTCGATCGTGGGAATGAGAAACTTGTCCTTGATGGTGATAGCATTAAGGGCACAAAAGTCAACACAAAATCTCCAACTACCGTTCTTTTTCTTGACAAGCAAGACCGGGGAGGAAAAGGGGTTATGACTCGGTTGTATCATACCATCAGATAACATCTCCTCAATTTGTTTCTCAATTTTCACTTTCTGGAAATGGGGATATCGATACGGACGTACCGAGACTGGTGATGAATTGGGAAGGAGGTGTATTTGGTGATCTATACGACGAAAAGGTAGTAGGGATGCCGATTTCTGGAAAAGTTGAGAGTATTTGTGTAAGAGGGTCGATATTTAATGAATATGATGGGTAAGAATGACTTCTGTGTTAGGTGAATTTGGTGAGGGTGTAGTAGGCAGTATACGAATGTGAAAAAATGTTGTTGCACCATGTGTTTGTAGGATACGTTTAACCTGTTGAGTTGAAATGTCATTGAGCTTTGGGTGGCATCGACCTTAAACTTCACAAATTTCCCATCCTTAACGAACTTCATAGTGAGTTGGGAATAATCAGTAACAATGGGACCCAAATCTTTGAGCCACTGGATGGATGCCAAGGACTACGTCAGCACCACTGATGGGGAGCACATGGAGATCCACCAAAAAATTATGACCTGAATTTTCAATTCCATCCCTGGACAGATGCTATCACATTCAATTTCACTACCATTTCCAACCATTACTCGCAGTGTGTCACTGGCTGAGGTTCCACATTAAAAAAATGCACCATTTTGTCTTGGATAAAATTGTGAGTACTCCCCCCATCTACCAAAATAGTAGGGGGTTGGTTAAAGATGTAGCCCACTATGCGAAGAGCTTTAGGGGCTGGCAACCCAGCCAAAGCGTCGAAACGTATTTGGGCTTCACTCAGCCCAGATTTGCACCTTCCAGCGGAGCCGCCTCTAAATGTGGGAACTCTACCCGGACGTCATCATCCTCATCAACAGTAACTAATATAAAGAAATGACCCTTGCACTTGTGACCCAAGCTGAATTTTTTGTCACAATTGTAGCATAATCCTTTCTCATGACGAGCCAACATCTCCTCGTGAGTTAAATTTTTATAATGCGGTTTAGATGGGGTGGGCAGAGGTGCCGGTGGCCGAGAAGGTGTTGGAAGCAGCGGCGGGCCAGATGAAGGAGAGAAAGGAAGACAATGACGGAAGGAATGACATTGGTCAATGAATTTTTCCTCTTGCAATTTAGCTAGCACCGCGGCCTGTGTTAAAGTCTGAGGTTGCAACGCTTGAACTTTGCATCGAATATCTGGGTTTAACCCAGAAATAAAATTACTTAACAAAAAAGTTGCAGGGAGACCAACAATGCAGTTAGCAAGCCATTTAAACTCATTCAAATAATCTTGTACAAAACCCTTATGTGTCAACTTAAAGAGAAAACCACGAGGGTCCTCATAATAGGAAGGAGCAAACTAACCTCTAAAGCTTGAAGAAACTCTTGCCACGAGGGGATCATGTTGTTCCGATGCAACCATTGGAACCAACTAAGAGCTGGACCATCCATGTAAAAAGACGCAATCTGGAGCCGATCCACTTTCAGTGTGCAATGGTACTAAAAAAATTGGGATATCTTAAAGATCCACTCCATGGGGTAGGTTCCATCAAACCGAGGAACATCCAAATGGAGTTGTGGTTTGAATGGCAATAAATCGAAATGTGGAGAGGGTGCATCACGATTGGGAAGCTAAGAAATAATGGTATCCAAACGGGTAGTAATTTCATTTTGGTTAACGGTAAATTTGAGAATAGCTTCTTCCAAATTGGTGATGGATTTGGAGCGGGTGTTATCATCTGTCATGGTAAAATGTGAAAAAGAGGAAAGAGAAATAGAAAGGGTCAACAAGAACACCAAAATGTTAGATAAAATAGCCTTAATTTGAGGTCAAGAAAACTCCTACAAAAAATGGGCAAAGAAATGATGAAAATTTTTCTTCTCCCCTCATTCATTCTTATATAATAGAAACAATAAATAACAAACTCACTAAAATACTGACACGTAATATATAAATATTTCCTCACTCACTCCCCACCGGTGAAAGCTTGTAATCAGCTAAATGTCTTAGGATCCTGTGAACCCTTGTTGACATCATTGGGTCAGCTACCCCCATTGGCCTGGATTGCTATCAGAGAGGGTCTCGTAGTGAGGCTGAGGCTAGATTGAAGGCAAAATCTGCAAGTTTGGGTTGAAGGCGCGATGGTTAGGGAATCGGGAACTGTGGTGGCTTGTGGAAGCGTGGTGGGCATAAGAGTGGTGATTTGGGCTAGCGATTGGTCACGATGACGTGCAACCAAGGATGGTGTTGGGCGATGGTGATGTTGGGATTTGGGTTGACAATGTTGGGGGAGGTTTGGTGGGTGAGGGAAAAGGGTATTGAAGTGGAGGCTGGGGCTGTGACTATAGAGGTGGCGCGTGGTGTTGGTGGTATGAGCAGGGATTGGGCACGATTTAGGGCTAGGGGAAGAAGAGAGGATGAGACTCAGTGTGAGTGGTGGCTCGCGGTGGACTAGTGGGTGTAGGGAGAGTGCATGGAGGAGGGTGAGTGGGGGGAGGAATAAGTTTATGGGTTGGAGATGAGGTTCATGCTGGAGATGAGAACGAGGGTCTGCGACCATGTGTAAAAAAAATAATAGTCACTAAAGTTGATTGCAGTGAGATTAACTGTTTCCATTGATATACTGTTGATCTTGACGAAGATAGAAACACGAGGATGACACACGATTTGGTTCAAAAAAAATATGACGAAATGAAAGCGAGAAAAAGCGGGAGATGAGACAAAAAGGTTTTTCGCTTATGGATGAAGAAAAGAGATGAAAGCCCCTGACAAATTAAAATGTCCAACTTACCCTCACTCTGCAAGATTCACTGGTGTATGCATGCAGAAAGATTCTTAAGATTCTCTGCAAAAAGTTGAGAATCTCTACAAAAATTGTTTCACGTGTTTCAACAGGGATTCAACCCTATTTTTATAACTTGTGATCACAAGCAAAAATTCTCACGCCATCCTCCATTGCAGTTCTCACAACAGCCTCCATTGAAGCTCTAAAGAAGATCAATATGTGCTACGCAATCTTAGGTAAGATTAGTCCATGTTTTTATCATGCAAATGTTTCACCCCATGTCATACATTCAAGCTCAACTGATATTATACTAGAAAACGTTGATTTATCAACCTTCTTTGCCTAAGTAATGATCTTTGACAGAGAGAATATTTTTTAATAAAACTTCACCAACATGTCCGCTTTCTCATCCTTCTTCAGAATCATACGCCTATGATGAGACGGAATGATCTGAGGGTAACCGAACCGAGTGAGGGAAACTGGTACCGCATTGTCAGGATGAACAAATTCATCTCCACCATAGGCCATCATCAAGGATGAAGCTGCTTGCTTAAAATAGAAAGTGCAGAACAACCACCCAGATTTCCGACCAAGGTGAACCAACCACCCAGAATTTCGACCAAGGTGAACAATGCGAATAACAACAAGATGGATCCCCACACAGAGTTCCTTGTTCAGACCATCAAAGATCACTAAAGCACCTTTTGGTATGACGATCTCTGTTTTCAACCTCCATTGAATGTCCACCGAATAATATAGGTAAGCTTCTCCTTTATTGCGCCAACCATAATCGATTATGGTGTGTCTTCTTCCTCCGGCGGTTTATGCATCGTTCTGGCGCCAGACTCTCCTCCGATGGGCGCCTCTCTGGCCGCCATGGTGGACCTCATGGCTGCAGCTGATCCAATCGTGTGCATGCATGAGAAAAGGCCAAACCTCTTCGACTCCAATAGAAAATGGGCAGTATACCATCATGGTTTCTGACTTGGTTATGTTGTTGTTGCAGGCTTAGGGGTGTCATCAAGTTCACCGTCAGCTTGTCCCATGAAGAGCTTCGTTCATATCTTTTCTCACAGGTATGGTTCATATGTTGTCTTCCATGATTGCAACCTGAAACTGGTTCTAATGGTGTTGTACTCCATGCATTTTTTTGTTTCGACTACTAGTAAATATCAAAACACTTAGTAATTAGTTCATTGGAATTATTGCCTTTGTTTAGCATTTTGCAAGATTATGATGAAAAGAAACAAAGAGAGGATGGAATTTATTTCTGGTTTAGAAACACAACTCAGTTGTGTCCCAAAACTGAATTTTTGTTTATAAGTCGTGTACACATTAGACAATAAAAAATATGATTGCGTAGTTGAGTATGTACTTTGATATTTTATCTTTTAAAAGTTTCAAACTTAAAATATTCTCTTTTTGATAGAAAAAGTTTTCCAAACATGGCAAAGGTATACGAGTGAGAGTTTTTGCAAAATATATCTGTTATCAAATCAGAAACCTAACAAAATGAGAATAGAAAGAGTGAAACGTACAAGTATTAAAATAATTGTAAGGTTGTATTGCTTATAGGCTCATCCACATGACATGTCCATTTGAAAGGTGTGGAATGGGCCCAAGATAAAGCTATTGAACCCAAGTTTTAGACATGTTAATATAAAATACTTTTATTATAAAATAAAAAATGTTATATACATACATATAATTTTCTTATTAAAAATGCAAAAAAAAATTAAAAATATGTATTTTTGTAGATGGAAGTTGTGGCTAATGTATTTATTATAAGTGTGGTGTGTGGATTATGATAAGCATCTGGGATCATTTCAACTACCTATAAATGTCACAGTTTCGTGTACTAAAAAACCTAGCTAGTCTAGTAATGACATGAAGTTGAGGTAAAAATTGGTAGTTGCATGCATGCATCTTGGAAGCAAAAACTGGGAATAATAGAAGAAAAATTGGAACGAAAAAATGGAATCAAAAACTCTGTTTTTTCAATTATAATTATTGTATGGAAATTTTGAATTTTTTTATAGATACTGAAAAGAAATAAAATAATTGAGAGATCATACATGAAACAAATTTAATAAAAATTATGGCAGACACTGTGAATGCATAATTAAATAAGGGAAAAAAAGTTAAATATAGTTATATTTAAAAAATAAATTTATTGTTTTTTTATAATAGATGGAATATGTAAAATTGAGAAAAGAAAAAATTTATAGAAATGAGAATTTGTTAAAAAAGAAGTAAAAATATTAGTGAAAAAAAATTATTAGTAGTTTTGTAAATAATTTTTTTATAAAGCATTAAACTTATATGATTTTAGTCTTGTATACATTAACTGAATATATTAAATTTTCTAAATATTAAAATTATATATTTTGAATTACTTCCATTAAACATTAATTAATTAATTATATATATATATATATATAATTTTATAATGTGAAATATAATTAAGATATGATAAATAAATCAAAAAATTATTATTATAATTGTAATAATTGTTGAGTAAATCTGTAAGATAATTTAAGTTTAATGTTAAAAAAAAATTTTATACCACATAAATCAATTAAATATTTAAAAATGTCAATTTTAAATAATAAGAAGAGAAAACCTAATTGTAAGATAACAATCATATTTTTACATATGAATTACTGTGTATTAGTTATGGAAAATAAATGTTTTAAAGACTTTGAACTATATATTAATAATATTTAAATTGTGTAGTATAAGTTTATAAGAGATAAACTTAAATATAAAAATAAATTGTAATAATAGTATCAATTGGTTGTTCTATAACCTTATAATAGTTGCCAAATGATAAGAATGTGAGAGTGTGAATTCTGGTCATTTATTTGTGGTGTGCGAATTTATTTACTGTATATATATGTTGCATTGTGTGGTTTGGCTGAGTTCGAGCGTGGTCGACCTTCAACATATTTAAATTGTGTGTGATTTGGTTATGTATATTGGAAGTATCATTATCAATGAAAAATGTTTTTTTTATTAGTTAACGAGAGTTATAATTAGGGTTTAGGGTTTACTTCTTATTTAAATATAATTAAATTATTAAATTTGGTATTTGGAAATAAATTTTCAGATGGCAGACAAAAACATCGAGATCATTGGTTTAGATAATGACGATATAGATAATGGTTTGGATATAAACATAATTTCACATATACAAAGTGAGATAAAAAAGCGAAGCAAAGTAGGAGCGATGACAATTCTTTGTCTGATAGCCTATGGGTTAAATATGTTGTCTACGGTAACTTGTAGTAACAGTAAAATTAGGGACTTTATTTCTGAAAAAGAACGTCGTTGACACGAGTTGATGTCATACCTTATTCATGCTGAACAATCTCGTGACATTATTCGCATAGGACCGAAGGCGTTCATTAACTTGTGTCAACGAGTAAGGGCAACTGGATTTGTAAACGATGTGTTACAATCAATAGTCGAAGAACAAGTGACTAAATTTCTCCATATTATCAAACATAACATTAAAAATCAAACTGTTTCATTTTTCTTCCATCGATCGGGTGAAATTGTTAGTCGACACTTTCATAATGTGTTGAATGCGATAATAATGTTGGAGTAACAATTAATTGTTCAACCATCAGGAAGGGATGTGTGTCCGTATATATTAAACAATAGCCGATTTTACCCATACTTGAAGGTAATCTACTCACCAACTTTTTGTCTATATAACATACGCATAGATTGTCTAAACTTTAATGACAATAATTTTTTTTGACCAATTAGGATTGTTTAGGGGCGATAGATGGAACTCATGTTCGAGTTAAAGTCGCAAGATCTGATGCCCCTCGTTTTCGTGAAATTGGCCAACACAAAACGTATTTGCAGCTTGTGATTTCGACATAAAATTCACATATGTTCTAGCAGGGTGGGAAGGAACAACATCTGATTCAAGAATATTAAAGGATGTTCTTACGAGAGAGGATCGTCTTATCATACCACAAGGTTTATTATTTATAACGTGAGGATTTTGTGTATAGTCATCTAGTTTAAATATTCTAATCAGTATAACTTCAATGATTTTAAATAGGTAAATACTACTTGGGGAATGCTGGATTTATGTTAAAAGCAAACATAATGACCCCCTATCGAGGAGTTAGATACCACCTTAAAGAGTATTCTCAACGAGCTCCACAAAACCCCCAAGAATTGTTTAACCATCGACATTCGTCTCTTAGAAATGTAATTGAAAGAACATTTGGAGTTTTGAAGAAAAGATTTCCTATAATAGCTAGTGAAATAGAGCCTCATTATTCATTTGATACAATGACGAATATAGTCCTAACATGTTGCATTTTACACAATTTTCTTTGAGGGGTAGACAATGATGAATCACTGTTAGCTGAAGTGGATCGAGAGTTGATGGAACAAGATATGGATAACATGTCGACTCAAGTTCGGGAAGTGGATTCTAGGGAAGGGTCAAACTTAAGAGATGCTATAGCAAATCAAATGTGGATAGATTATCAAAGTGATTAGATTTTGTATGTAACAATATATGTAATGAGATGTACTATTGTTATTGTTGAAATATGGTTAAATTACGATTATCCATTTATAATAATTATATGTTGGTATTGTCATTACATATATTGTCTTTCCAATAGGTTTAAAATGAACATAGGAAATGATATTGCACCAGATTTGTCAACTGTAGTGCGCGAGTTTACAAAATGGACTGATGATATGGACTTTCGGTTGTTGACTGCTATGCTTAATGAGGCAAGGTTGGGTAACCGGGTTGATGGTAGTTGGACAACCCAAACATATAATAATACGGTTGAATCCCTAAGACAGTCTGGATTAATTAGTATAACTAAAAATAATGTTAAAAATCGACAAAAAAGTCTTAAGGATAGATGGCGGGAGGTTCACGATTTGTTTCATGGACTTAGTGGATTCGCTTGGGATGATATCACAAAACGGTTTATGGCTGAGCAAGAAGTATGAGATGACCTGATCAAGGTACTATTATATGAATTATCATTTGTTGATATAGCAATTACGAGTGTTAACCATTCTTATTAATTTGTAGGCGAAACCTTCTACAGCTAAATGGAGACTGTCAACCATAAAGTATTATGATTTGATGGAAGAATTGTGGGGTGTTGATCGAGCTACTGGGCATATGGCAAGAACTTCGCGTCAGTCCTGGAGGAATATCAGTTCTCGAAGGGCAACAGTCGACTTGAACGTTGATGTGGATCCCACACCAGAGGAGCAAGATTTGATACAACTTATCGATCACCTCCACGCATGAGTTCTGACAGTCCTTCTGAGGGTGTTCAGTCAATGCCATCAGTTGCGTCTACTGGTTCAGGTGGAACCTCTTCATCTCGGGGCACAAAAAGAAAAGCGCCTATGATTGATGTGATGGAAGGTCAATTTGACAAACTAACAACGAGGCTAGACACATTTACAGATTACCTTGGCCAAGGTAATACATTAACCCAACGATTATCTGACATAGCTGAAAGACAGGTGGTCACCATTGAACGCAGAAATGATTTAATTAATGAGCAAGTTAATGTGATGAGGCGATCATCAACATTTCAACATTCCGAGTCAAATATATGGGACATATTAGTCGGCATGAATATAAATGACGAGCAACTTATGCTTCAGTGTTATAATCATTTGTGTACTCACGAATCACATGTTAGAAGACTTTTTGGCTTGCCCCCACATCTTCGTCTCTCCCAATTGTTCATGTTCTTGGGTGGAAGTGATTGAATGGTTT